CCCCAAAACCCCAAAACCCCAAAACCCCAAAACCCCAAAACCCCATAGGAGAATATAGATAGAGAATCAAAGCTGAAAGAATTTAGAATGAAGATTTAATTGTAAATAATTAAAAAAATAATAACTTTAGTTGAAAGCCTGTAAATGTGTAAGTTAATTATCATAACCTATAATTGCCATTAATGATTAGAAGAAACACAAAAGATTGTTAATAAGGTAAAGATTAGTCTGGACTTTCTAGAGGATCTAAAGCAGGTCTTAGAGGACACCAAGGTTTCTAAGAGATCTGGAGCTAATAAATTATTGAAAGAATCTTCGAAAAAATCGACTAAGAACAACTACTTCTAAAGTAATACCAACTCATCCAAATAAAGCCCTCTGCTCAAGCAGCCCAAATCAAATAGGCCTAAGCAAGAAGAGACAGACGAGTTGGATTAGATGGTAGATGATTTCCTGAAGGAGAACAAGATTCCTGAAAAAACTGTAAGAAATTCCCTCTAATACTATTCTTTGCAATAATAGACTTAACCCATCGAATCAATTCAGCCAGTGTTTGATTCTCCTTTTAATCGCTAGCCAAGCTAGAAAAAGATTTCTATGGGCATGAATAGTGATAACATGAAAAGCTTGCGATTTGATGGTGATGACTCGAAGCGAGTTTTTCTCTAACCATAGAAGATTAATGGTGCTGATGTGATTGGAAACAGAAGCGGACTATCTGGACCCTCAACAGTCAAAAACTCAAGATTAAGGGATGATTCTGATGATGAATTCGAAAAATTAATTCGAGAAAGCATGGGTAGTTAAGCAAAGAGACAAAATCCTAGAAACTATGAAACATTGCATCAAAGATAGCCAAGTAATCTAAATCTAGACGATCTTCTAAGTGAATTGAACGGTTCAGATCAACGCAGAGAGAAGTTATAAAAAAAGGGTGGCGTAAATGGCATTTATTACAACCAAGAAAGCATCAAGCTCTATAGGCAAAATTCAAATGCTAACCGTCGATAAACAAAAAACAAATTCAGCCAAGAAAAGACCTCCAGTGATGAGAAAGTACTAGACTCTCTCAATATTGATGCTCTTTCAACATATCTTAAAGAGATTAAGGAAAAGTATTTAAGCAAGCTTTCTATATCTTAAGATGGAATGCTAAAAAAGTATGCAAACAGAAATAAAAATATCAGAACTTATGAGATTTTCACCGATTCGGATACGAATTAAAATAAAATTATGCTGAAGACTAATATTTAAGGCTTGCCAGTAGATGGTCGACTAATAGCTGTTGCTAATTTTTAATAATAGGAATCAGTATTCCATGGGTACAGTAAGTTAGGGTTCGAGAAGAATGAAGCTATAGTGCTAGTGAGTGCATCCCTTGACAATAGTTATTTAATATTTGGATTTAAAGAGACTCCTGCTACTCTTTCACGGACTGTAGAAGTTGTAGATGTCTTTGCAGTTGAGAGCACAACGGTTAGACCGAAATTTGAAGTCTATCCTCCAGGCAGTAGATTTTATAAACTCAAGGAGTGGGAAGATATTGGTTTTGAAATTTCAAACATAGCCAACACAAGCATTGATATGCTGAGATTCAATAGTTTTCAGAGTTATGACGAGGGTGAAATCGGAATCCTGCATGAAATTTTCTTGGTTACTAAGGATTTTAATCCAGAAGAAAAAGAGCCTCTTCTTACTTCTGAAAAGGTAAGAGTCCTAAGTCTTAGAGTAGGAGAATTGCTGTTTATGACTATAGCTCCAAACAAAGGTGGTTGGTTTGAGGGGTACAGAGCCAATGATCCTGATAGACTATGTGGAATAGCTCATAAATCTTTTCTGAAGAAAATAAATTTCAAATGAGCATTTGTGAATCTTGGGTTTATATATCATAATATGAGGGCGATCTGTAGAATAATTTAAGCATTTTAAAGGAGTATAAGCTTATTAGTAATAACCAAGAGCTGTTACCTATTTTAATATAAAATTTAACCAATCTAATTAGTCCTGCATTTTCACTTATGGGGTTTTGGGGTTTTGGGGTTTTGGGG